CGGTTTTGGGGAGCTGTTCATTGCAGGAACAGTTCTAAAAACGAAAGTCCACTTGTTCTCACCCTACCTCTAAAGACAGAGCGCCCGAACACCTGCGACGACCCATGAGCTCTAAACCCTGCCTGAGAAATTCACAAAAGGGGGCCTTAATAATTAGAATAGTGTTCCTTGAAAGGGTTCCTCTTAAAGGGGTCCATCAACGGATTATATTATGGGGGTTCAGTATAGGGGCCTTAATAATTAGAATAGGGTTTTGGGGCCCTGTACTATCATTATAGTAAGCCCTAAACCCTAAACCCTAAACTCTAAACCCTAAACCCTAAACCCTAAACCCTAAACCCAAAAAGTATAGGTAACTCTAAAGGCCCCAGTAGTACTTCAAAGTCCAGGCTATGCAGCCTTGGGGGAGAGTCCCGAGCTCATCGAAGCCCTTCTGTCCAGGCTTGGGGTTCACGCTTCAGGGTTTAGAGGTTTAGGGTTCCTTTTAAGGGTCCCTTTAAAGGGATCTATAGGGATTCTATGAGGGTCTGGGGGTCTAGAAGTTAGGGTTTAGAATAGGGATTTAGAGGTTCGGGTTTCGGGTTTAGTGTTGAGTTTGTAGGCTTTAGGGTTGAGACTTTTGGGTTTATGTATCTAACTTGTTAACGGCAATTTATGAACTTTTATACTATGGTGAACCAATTGAATACACAAACAGGCGGCAAATAAGCAAAACCCTAAACAAATAACGTCTGTCTGTCTGTCTGTCTGTCTGTCTGTCTGTCTGTCTGTCGGTCTGTCCCTGTGTTTGCCTGTGTGTCTGTTTGTCTGTCTGAATAAGTATATATATGTATATATATATATATATATATATATATCTATCTATACATATATACATATGTATATATATATATATATATATATAACACATGTGTACGGACACATAGACATACAGTTACTGAAAGAAACAAACAAATCAATGAATACGATAAATAAACAAACAAACAAACACATGTTGCAGTTAATGCATAAAGATATATACACGTGTATGTGTGTGTATAAAATTAAAAGTATGTTTAATACAGATCCACATAAATTACAAGCGTATACATATACAAATTAAAACGCACATAATCTAAGCAAATGCACACATTTATATCCAGCCATCCATACATACATGCATAAATACGTGCATACATGCATACGTACATGCATACATACATACATACGCGAGCACATACATACATACATACAGACATACATGCATACGCCCGTACCTACCTACCTACATACATACGTACATGCCTACATACAACCCAACATAGACACATGCATACATGCATAGGTACGTACAGACGTACGTACATACAGACATACTTGCGCACATACATACTTACATACATACATACATACACACCTTTGTGAATGAGTGTGCATATATATATACATACATGTGTATATATATATATATATATATATACACACATAGCTTAAGCCATATGGTGTCTGATCATGTAGTTCAGGGTAGATGTTCCTTGCACATATGTGAGGTTTTTGCTTTCCAGGCATGCTGATCCCAACACCACCGTCTCCAAGAGTATCCGTCGCCTCTACCACCCGAAGAGGGTGCCGGTCGTATCTATCTGTGCAGCTTTCGGCAACAACGGTGCTCTTCAGGTGCTTCTCCATGCCCGGGCTGACCCAAACCAGAGGGAGGGCCGCGGCAACCCACCACTGTTTTACTCAAGCCTCGCTGACAACTTGGAGGGAGCCCGCCTGCTGCTTCAGGCCCGGGCAGATCCATGCGCGGAGAGCGACCTTTCAATCAGTGTCCTTGAGTTTGCCTGCAACGCGGGTGCCAGCCGAGTCGCCAAGGAGATTTTTGCCACACCGGCTGCAGGCCGGGCCCAGTTTCTGCTTCACACCGCCTTGGTCATCAACGGCGGGAATCCTGCTCACATAGCCATGATGATCGAAGCAGGGTGTGAGGTGAATGAGCAGTTCTACCCCAAGAAGCTCGGATATCGTCTTCTGTATATGATCGGCACCTTCGCAGCTGAACTAGTCAACTTTAAACTGTTTTGATCATAAATCCTAAACCCTAAACCCTAAACCCTTCAACCAAGCCCCCTGGTTTAAGATTTTTTTGGGCTTTGCGAATTCGGCCAGCAAGGCACAGTGAAGCATCGGCTCAAGGGGCCTTCCACGTACAGTGCCCTCTCCTATCACCACACAGGCGCCGAGCCCCAAACCTTAAATCCAGAATCCTAAACCCTAAAGCCCTAAACCCTAAGCCCTAAAAGCCAAATCTCATACGAAGTCCCTCCGACCGCTCACACACACAGGTGCTACGCCCTTGATGCTCAGCATCCTTGCCGGGTATTTCTCCGCTGCACAGGTGCTTTTGAAAGCTGGCGCTCGTGTGGACCTCCGCAACTCTCGAAGCCCGACTGCTCTTCAACACTGGTTTCTATCGTCTCTTTCGGATCTTCTTATAGTCTGCATTGTAGTTCCTGTTTTTGGTTTAACAAAGGATCCTAAAAGGTAACCCGCAAAAGGAACTGCAATGCAGACTATAGGTTGATTTTTGTTCATATAACATCCAGGTGTACATTAACCAGGCTGTTCAGTGGTACACTTATCTTTACTTTCAGGTTTTCTGGGTTCCTATCATAAAATATGAAGCTTAAAAGAGTATATACATTTTCCCAGTGGGTTACTGAACATCCTAGTTAAAACTCGTATTTGAATCATGCTTCTAGGGGGGTGTATTTGGGGTGCATCAGGGTTTAGCAGGGTTTAAGGGTTTACGATGTATAGAGGGTCCGCAGAGCCCCCGGAGGATTCGGTGTTTGGGTTTAGGATAATCGTATCTATAGGGCTGGTATCTATGCATATATATATATATGTACGTATATATAGATACATATTTTTGTGTGTATATATATATATATATAGATACATGCGTGTGGTTTTCGGCACATAGACCCCTAGGGTTTCTGCAGATCCTCGCATGGGTCCAGCACCAAAGCTATACATCATGTAGGTTTAGGGTTTAGGGTTTAGGGTTTAGGGTTTAGGGTTTAGGGTTTAGGGTTTAGGGTTTATATAGAAGTTGGAAAAATGCCGACCTCTCCCAAAACCTTATTCTACTTATTAAGGCCCCGAATATAGAACGCTTTTCGTAGCCCTTACACTATAGTAACCCCTTGAAAGAAACCCTATTCTAATTATTAAGGCCCCTGTACACGTAGTACTCAAGTAGGTGCATGTAGCATTGGGAGTTGTAGGAAGCCCCTCAGGCAGAGTGGTAGTGGCAGTAGCAGCAGACACCGTTTTCGTGTTCAGGGTTTAGGGATGGTTTAGGGTTTAGGGATTGTCGAAGTAGCAGCTCATAGTGCAAATCTCTGAAAAATATGTATTCGAGTATTAAGGTCCTTGAAGACAAGGGTTTCATTTGAAGACTCTGGGCTTTAGAGTTTAGGGTTTAGGCTTTAGAGCGGCGTTTGCCCAGGAAACAGGACTGCTCTTGATTTCGCTGTGGAGAAATGTGCGCCAGAGCCTTTGCTTGCGGAATTGCGCAGAGGTGCAGCGGCGTGACAAAAGCTCTTCGAATTATAACTCGGCAGTAGATACGCAGCTGCCTGAAACTTGGCCGCGTGTTGACTTCGACTTTATAAGACCTTCCCCAAGGGTCCTATGTACCGATATAGTAGAATGTGGGTTTCCATATTACGAATGACTACTATGACTTAGGGAAGTATCCCCCATAACAGTACATAGGGCCCTTTGGGCTTTGAGGGACATCGGCATCCTGAACACAAGTCAGCTCGGACGGCAGAGCTCCTTTCAGGATCGTAATCCGGTGTTCCGACCCTTTAATACAGCGGCCTCAATGACTGGAATAGGCTTGTTGTGGCGTATGCTATGTTCTATGTATAATCAGGAAGCCTAACAGCCTAACAACATCGTGCTGGTAACTGTTCAACTCTTGCGCGCCGGCGCATCAGTTAGGCCGCACACATCAGGGTCCCCAAGGGTCCCCTAAATGTGACTTGACATCGCCTGGATCCGGCGTTTTGAGCTACGCTTGTTTTCCATGTTCCGGCGAAGAGTGCTTTTCCGGCTGGCCCTACACCCTGACATCCTAAGCCCGACAGCCCTCTCACATTGTCCGAGCATCCTGTACATACATGTACATACATACATAGACATATACATGCATATGCATGCATATGCATGCGTATGCATGCATGTACGCACACACACACACACACATGATCACTTTCATGCACATGCATGGTATACGCACAGATGCAGGCACATGTACATGCATATACATATATATATATATACACACACGCATGTATGTACATGTCATGCATCCACACATCCATCCATACATACATGTATACATGCATACGTGCATATGTGCATACACGCATGCATGTCCATGCATTTATTCATTCATTCACTCATTCTTTCCTTCACTCCTTCACTCCTTCACTCCTTCCTTCCTTCATCCCTCCATCCATCGCATGCATGCATTTATTCATGCCTACGTACATACATGCATGCATACATACATATATGTATAATGTACATAATATATATATATATATATATATATATATGCATTAATATATGTATGTATACATTATATATATATATATGGATATATGGACGGAGGACAGACCTACGGACGGACAGACAGACGCAGAGACAGACACACACACATAGGCATACGTACACCTACATGTATTTGCATATACCTATGTAACATATCTCGCCTGGAGTAGCATAGCACGGATAGATGTGATAGTGCATATGGAAGCCCTCGTTCTACATCGCGCATGGTCTCACCCCAGCCAACGCATGTCGCCTGCGGAAAAATGCACCAACAAGCTTGACCAAGCTTAAGGTGGTGCAGGTATATTCCTGAACCCGTAAGCCGAGGTTTAGGGTTTAGGAATACCTTACATCGTTGTGGAGTGACGAAAGACATGTCCGTGAGTTGAAAGGTCGTGATCTCCCTACAGCACGCGGAAGCGCGAGAAGGCTGGTTGGGCCGGCTATCGTGCTGCTCTAGGGTCCAGGGCTTAGGGGTCTGGGTGTAATGTAGGAACCTGATTAAGAAACCTTGGGCCTTTATTAGGGTTCCTTATTTGAATCCACTATTTTGGGGTTATAGGCCCAGGGTTTCTTGATCAGGTTCCTACATTGCCGTTTACTTAGAGGCCCAGAGGACTTAGTAGGTAGGTTATGAGTAATTAGGGCTATAAGTACCCTACATGGAGTTACCCCAATTATCGCCCTACTTAGAACCTACTTACTAAGTCCCCTGGGCCTCTAACCCTAAACCCTAAAGCCCATAGAGCCCTTTAAGGAACCCTACAGTAGAAGCCAACAAGTTGGAAACCCAATAGCCTCAATCCTTAAGAGTAATGTAGAGGGAATCCCAGCGCTATTTGGCCTTAATCCGGTTTCCAACTTTTTGGGGCTTACCCTAAACCCTAAACCCTAAACCCTAAACCCTAAACCCTAAACCCTATAAGGAGCCCTTTTTACTAAGTCCCTGGGCCTCCAAGGTTAGGAGCCTAATCGTTGAGGGCAGGTTTTGGGGTTGGGACTATAAACCCTAAACCCTTAAACCAAAAGTTAGAACCCTAAACCCTAAACTAAAAGTTAGAGCCCTAAACCCTTAAACTAAAAGTTAGAACCCTAAACGCTCAAACTAAAAGTTAGAACCCCAAACCCTAAACCCTAAACTTTTAGGGTTGAGGCTGTCAGCTGAAGAGGCAATGATGCGAAGAGAAGGTGCTTGGCTGTGAGATTTCAGAGTTCCTGTTTTCGGCATGCGGCCGGTTTAAGGTTTAGGGGTATGCGGGTTTAGGGCTCAGGGTTTCTGGACGTTGGTGTAGCTTTTTTTGATTTGGAGCGTCAGGTCAGGTCTACCGAAAGTTTTGGGGTTTAGGGGTTACCTGGGATCCACAAGCCTATCGCTTTAAGGGTTGTGCTCTATAGTTGAGGGTTATCACTGTTATCACCTACTACTAGTTTGAAGGGTTTGGAGCTACAGGTAAAGAGGGTCGGAATCATCGATAGTCGTGTCCACACCTTGCCACTGAACATATTTAACATAGACGGTACAATAGCCACCCCACCACAACATCAACAATCTCGTTGCTCATGCCCTTGCACCAGTTTTGCTTGCTGCGGGCAGGTGGCCCGACCCTGAACCCTAAACCCCTAAACCCTAAATCCTAAACCCCTAAACCCTAAACCCTAAACCCACAATCTGAGGGTACATGCTAAGCCCGAATCCTTGACCATATGCCCGAGCCACTTACGGCCTGAAGCAGCAAAGAAGTCCGAACCCTAAAATGCCAAAGCACTACGCCCGTAAGCCATAGAGAACCCTCATACATAAAGCCTATACAAGGTCCTTGTACACTGAATCCTGAAACCCACCGGAAGAGCCCTTATGCAAAAGTGATTGCCAGGTGCTCAGCTACCGCCGTGCATGGGTGCGACTTGGCAGAACTCGAAGATGCTATCTGAAACCTGGGGCATAGGGGTTTTGGGGATTTGGGATATACCAGCTTAAGGCGCTAAACTTTTGTTAGCTTTAGGGATTTGGGTTCTTCCAGACCGTAAACTTAATTTCGGTTTCGGGTTTGGGGTTTTCGTTTATCCTGAACACTATAGCCTCTAAGCATTTTAGTTTGGTTTCAGGTTTTGGGTTTGAGTTATCCTAAGCCTATAGGCCCGAAGGTCTGGGATTGTTGAGGGATTGGAACCCAGAGACTCTAATATGCCTTAATTAAGGAAAGTACCTTAAATCATATTAGGGATCCTACTAATGGTAGGATCCCTAATCTGATTTAAGGTATAGTATAACTTAAGGTATATTCCCTAATTAAGGGATATTGGAGTCTCTGGGAACGGAAAGATGCTTTGAAGCTGTCCCTGAAGTCGAGAGTCCCTGCCCCAGTAGCTCTGCACCTACTTGGAGGATCACAGGACTTCGTAAGTAAGGTTATAAGTACCTTAATTGGGGTTATAAGTATAGTTGCCCTAATTGTAACCCTAGTTACTAAGTCCCATGATCCTTTAAGTGCAGCAGGTGAGCACGCATCATGTTTAGGGGTTCCGGGTTTGACTAAACTAAAGCCAAAACCCTGAAAGCCCTAAACCCGTAAACCCTGAGAGCCATATACCAGTAAACTCTAAACTCCTGAACCCTAAACCCCGAACCGCTCTTGAATTCAGGAACTCTAAAGTGGGACGGTGCAGCCGTAAACAGTGCGTCCTGTCACTTTATAGTGGCCCACATCATCAGCATCATCACCATCATCATCCATCATCACCACCATCATCCCCACCACCACCACCACCACCCCCACCACCACCACCACCCCCGCCGCCACCACCACCACCACCACCACCACCACCACCACCACCACCACCACCACCACCACCACCACCACCACCACCACCACCACCACCACCCACCACCACCACCACCACCACCACCACCACCACCACCACCACCACCACCACCACCACCACCCCCACCACCACCACCACCACCACCACCACCACCACCACCACCACCACCACCACCACCACCACCACCACCACCCCCACCACCACCACCACCACCACCACCACCACCCCCACCACCACCCCCACCACCACCACCACCACCACCACCACCACCACCACCACCACCACCACCACCACCACCACCACCACCACCACCACCACCACCACCACTGTCATCGCCATCAACCCCGTCCTCGACACTGTCATCGCCAATAGTACCATCTCCTCCATGGTCATCATCACCAACATGCGCATCGACATATCTATGTAGGGGTCACCGCCATCAGTATCACAGGTAATTCTATATCATCTTCGACATAGTCCCTTTGTGTGATCCTCGCTCCTGCGACCTCTATGAACCCTAAACCCTAAACCGTAAACCCTGAACCCTAAACCCTAAAGCCTAAACCCTGAAGCCTAAACCCTAAACCCTAAAGCCTGAAATTTCCCACCGTCCTCATGCGTTCGAATCGAGGGTGGGTTTGATTTCAATGCCTTGCTCGGGTCTCAGAACTACATACAAATTTTACACTAGGTATGCAGTCATGACTTTATAGTACAGTTATAAATGTAGTTATTCAAACTCTGTAAACCCTAAACCCCTAAACCCATGAAGGGAGCAAAGGTCCAGGGTGTAGGGTTTGCGAAGGTTTGGCAGACCCTGCGATAATACTCCAAGTGTGTAACTGCGGCAGGCCAAGCGCAAATTGAAAGATGTCTTCTGGTGAGAAGTTGTGTTTTGGCTGGTTCCGATGAACGCCACCTGAGCAATGCGGCAAGCGGGCATCTTAATTTCGCGCTTTTCACCAGAGAGGCACCAGCATGGCTTCCATCTACAATCTCGACTGTTATACTAAGCGTACTAGTTTCTGGTTTGAATTATACACACAATCTGGCGCAGAATGCCACTCCCAAAAGCAAGCAAGTCGTCAACTGTCACAGTGGGCCCGCTGCAAAAAATTGGACATGTAATGGCTCCACTTGACAACATAGCCCTAGGGGTCAATGTACCCAAACAGTAAAAACGTGGGCCCCAAAGTATCTACATAGGGACTGGCCAAAGTATATACCATTGGGGTACACGGACCCTTAGGCTAACATTCTGGGCCAGTTTCGGGGCTTACTGTCTTCCATATCTTCCGAGGGCGCGTGCCGCGCCGAAGCCCGGAGGGCTACACGATTATTATTTCTACTACTATAAATTCTATACATAATTCTTCTTCTTATCGCTACTATTTTCGTATTGCTGTTTTAGTCTTTTTACTGCTATATTACTATTATCAAGATTGTTATAATGAGTTTGTATTACTACTGCGCCAGGACGAAAGTTCGTCGCATCCGGTAGGTCTGGTAACACACACTTGCCAACCCCTTTCCCCCGTAGACTCCTCCACGAAGTCGCAATGTCAGGCCCGGAACCTCACTAATTCCTCCGTCGGAACAAAAAAACAGTGTATGTTTATTTTGGCATGGAAATTCCTCCGCTAGCCAGGCCACGTAAAATGCACTTCTTCGTACTCCGAGTCCTCCGCTAAGCAAAGACATCTTAGTGCGACAAAACTTTCATCCTGCTGATGTATTCTTACTTGTTATTATGATTCATATTATTAGTCTTACGCCCCTAAATCCTGTCTTTGCCACCCCTGAGATGCTGGTGCTGGACACCGAATTCATTCCTGCGAATGTGGGCGGACGATATTGCAACCGCTGGAAGGTGATAATCGCCCCAGCTCAGCCGGCCCTAACTATACCCAAGCCCAAGCCACGCCCAATCCCTCGACTACTCGATACGGAGATCCGCCGACACAATACAACACCAAAACTAGGAACTACGGTAGGAACCTCTTAGGTCATAGAGTGATATGCAGTGTATTGAGGTAATTCCACATTCAAAATCTGAAGAAATGTGCCAAGCCCTGCAACACGCCAAGACCCGAGGTTCAACTGTAGAAGAGGCCGTAGATTGTAATTCTCCAAGTGTGGGCGATACAACAGTCGTAGGGGGCACGAGCAGGGCTTGAAGAAGGTTGTTAAGATCTTGTATATAAAAGCTGCATGGAAAGGTTGGAGAGTTTGCACTTTGAGAGCTTCAGGGTTTGGGGAGGTTTGTCTGGGGAAGGGCATAGACACAATGATCGCTGATTCGGTGTGACAGCGGCCTTCCAAAAGGGGTTCCTGAGAGTTGTATGCGGTAACAGGGCTGACAAAATTAGGGCTCAAGGGGTTGTCCTTACAGTTTTGGGTTTAAGCTACTGCTCTCAAGTTAATGCCGAAAGTGCTTTCTGAGCCCATCCACAGCTCGCGAATGTGTCCTGGCATTGACCAGGACTTAGGTGCAAACCAAGGATGATATATGCATTATATGCAACTTTGGTATTGCTCGACGAAGGCGACGTGCTTTCAATGCCGTGGCGGGGAAAACTGATCCGAACACCGAGAAGCTGGAGATCACCCTGAGAATAAGTACCCTGAGCCGTCAGACCTAAATCCCTAGACAATGTAAACCCAAAGCACTTCAACCCTAAACTCAAAACCTTCAACTGAGCCGAAACCGTAGCTCTGTAAGGCGTGCATGGCTTCGAGGCATTAAGGTTTTGGCTGCAAGGTTGGGGGTATCCCGGCCCCCAAAGCCGCTCTTGCCTACTGTTCTAGGATCTCCAGTAGTACCCTTATTCCCTTTTTGTAGTCCTAGGTTCCTTATAAAGTTACCCAATACCAAAAAGAGAGGCCTTTTTATTCTTAGGTTACTGGGTATCCTAGTGTTGCTGCATGGAATCCTGCAAGACTGTCAAGTGTCTCGGTGTTATAGTTAGAGACTGGTACGCCGTGTATTTTCGAGGAATCCTGTGCTTTTTTTCTCGAGTTTTTGTACATGTATTTTGCAGCTATACTGTATAGTTATAGGTGTACATCTATACATACATACATAACTGCATACATGTATGCATACATACATGGGTGTTTCCGGAAATAGGGGACCCCCAATAGCCCATATATATATGTATATATATATATATATATATATATATATATATATAGGATCCGAATTATAAGCCGCCCCAAACAGGGTACCCCTATTTTTCGGAAACTCCCACGTAGGGTTCTAGGGTCTTGGGGGTTTTGGGGGGATCCTTTAAACCTTGAGCCCCACACTCTACACGCGAATCCCGGCCTTAGAGCCACTAAGCCCTGATCCCAAAATCCCTAGAGCCCTAGAGGCTATAAGCTCTAAACCCTGGGGTCTTTTAACTCAGGGTTGTGTGGTTGTAGGTTTACTAGGACCTAGAGTAGGCCCTTATTCCCTTTTTTAGGGTTCAGGTGCCCTTACAAGCCCCTTTAAACCAAAAAGGGCACCCTTTTTATTCCTAGGGTACTCTTGGGTCTAGTTTAAGAGCCGACAGATCTTGCATCCTTGGAGCCCCAAAAGCGCCTAAAGTCTACAGCCCTTTTGCAGCCCAGAACCTGGGTTCACAGTCACTGCCTAGACCCCCACAAGTTGGTAGAATAATGGCCCAAATCCTATAAAAGGCTATTTATTCTACATACTTTTGGGGTCCAGGTGGTCCGTTGTTTGCCTGAGTGTTTCCGGCACTACAAGCCCTCAAATCTGAGTGCTTACATCTCCGGTTGCAGGCAAATGCACGGCCCTAAACCCTAAACCTCAAAGAGCTATCAAAAAACTTTAAACCCTAAAGCCTTAAGCCCTTAGCCCTAGGCTAGACCCTAAGCTCCAAGACCACAAAACCCTTCAAACTGAGACTTGGCTCGAGCTCGTGTTACATCTGACAGGCCTGCTTGCACCCTCTGCCGCGCTTCGCCGAAAATGGTCTGACTTATCATTGATGCTGTCTCCTACGTGGGAGGCAAGATTCAGAAGGCCTTCGTTTACAGTGTAGCTTCTAGGGGGTCATTTAGGGCTTAGCCTGTAGGGAAGGGACGGCACCCGAGCTTGTTGTACAGTTCTCTTCAATCAGCGATGGCCGTATGTACCCGCGTTATGCAGACCAATACTTTTGCCAGCATATTGCCTGATGCGGTGAACCATCGGTAATACTCTTCCCCACTTGGAGGTTCATGGGTAGTTATAAGTAGGGTTATAAGTAGGGTAACTACACTTGTAGCCCGTATTAAGGGGCTTATAACCCTACTTATAACTACCCCTGAACCTCCAAGCAGAGCTCCTTGTTACTCTTTTTCTTTGTAATCGACCCCCAGAGCCCTATTGAAAGGCCATACAGCAGTAATAGAGGCGCCTTAATATATACTTAGAATAGGGTTTGGGGGCCCATTATACTATAACTCTAATAAGGAACCCCCCAAAATAGTATAGGTAATTATTGAGGCCCCTATAGTACGCTTCATGCTTGAGTCCTGCATCCTATGCTGGAGAGATTACACCCGATGCGCGCCGTCAAGCCTTCCCAAGCCCTGAGACTCCATGTCTCCATGTGCCCATATAGTAGGTACTTTGGCCTCTAAGGGGTCCCTATATAGGTACTTGGAGGCCTAAGTACCTACTATGTGGCTACATGGAGCCTTTGGGAAGAATATAGCACCGAACTTCTTTCAGGGTAGATTGGTTTCGGGGGTGTCTGTAGATTGTAGAACCCTTAACATGCAGATCTTTAAGTGTTTGAGCCCGAAACCCCAACAAACCTGAAAGCCCTACGCCCTAAGGTAAAAGCCAGAAAGTTGGAATATGATTATCCTAACCCTTCTATGGTAAATTATAGGGGATCCTACCATTAATCCATATTCCAACTTTCTGGAGTTCCCTTTAAGCCTTAAAGCCCGAAACCGAGACCTCAACGCTCAATCCTTTTCCCTGAACCCTGAAACCCTATGGACCCTAAAGCCCTCAAGACGCACAACCCCAAAGCCCCGAAGCCCCAACATACCAAAAACACAGTCCTAACATACTAAAGCCTTTGGAGCCCTCAACATCCGAAATCCTAAACCCTAAACCCTAAACCCCTAAACTCTACACCCTAAACCCTAAACCCCAAACCCTGAACCCTAACAACCCCTGGAGCCTCAAGAAACCCGGGTGCTTCACAGAGGCCCTGACGAACGAGGAGCCAGAGAGGAGAGGCGGCTGTGCGCTGAGTGGCTCAAAGGCCCCTTGGAGATTTAGCGTCTTGGACGGGGCTTTGAGGTAGTTTTAATTTTTGCGTTCTAGAATGGTTTTTACAAGGTTTTTCAAAAGTTTCTATGCGCGTTTTATGCGGGTTAGTGTAGGGTGTTTATCTCGGTCTCATGTTATTTAGAGGGTTTCCAAGAGTTTGCTTGTGGTGTTATAGTGTTGTTTTGCGGGTGGCTCCGAGGCTTAGTAAATCAAGAGAAAGGGGTCTGATTAGCAACTTTGATCGGGTTTGCAGGTGCACTGCGTTACACAAGCATCGAAGAGGAACTCAAAGGCATGATATCCCTACTTATTCAGACCTCGATAGCAACCGTAAGGAGGGTTCTTTTAGCGGTTCCGGGGTTAGCTTTCAAAGATGGCGGCCTTCGCCTAAAAGCCCATATGCGTGTGGAGTATGTTCGTTGACCTTCAAGGGGTGCACACAGAGGTACTTTACGATCAAAGGACACATTCTGTGACCCTGCAACCCTTAAAACCCTGTACTCCACCCTGATACACCCCATACAGACTCAAAACTCTTGATGTATTAAGCCCTTCAATGTTACCCTGGAGCTGAGAGACAGCAGAAAACAACGTCAAGCGGTC